AGATTGTAGAGCTTTCCAGTCTGCATCTTGTGGTGTATTTTGTTTTCTTTTTAGTAAAGCATATCAAATAATAATTAGATGAAACAAGAAAAGAACGAATTCGTCGTGTACCAAAAAATTATTTTTTTCGAAATGTCAAAAATTAATGGCTCAGAATTTGACCCATTTTGAAAATAAAAAGTGAAATTATACAATAAGCTGTCTTTTGAAGATTGTAGTTCTTTTCACGCTGCATCTTGTGGTATATTTGTTGTTTTTTAAAACAACAAACTAAGTGATGAAAAAATCAAATGAAAAAAGGCCGTTTTTTGGCCGAGGGAGAGTATTAATTATACTACATCATAAATCGAATATTCTCTTTGCAAACTATAATGACACAACATACTCCTACATGCTGAATAGATTTTGATTATGTTTGATTAAATTAAAGATACATCTACTTTAATATCAAGGCCACATAAAATTTTTCTTTCCTACCTCGTCCTCACTGGCAATGTGTTATTTAGAAGAAACTGTCTTTAACTTATGAATAAAATCACGAGGCAGCTAGAGGAAAGAGATAATTTTTTCCTTCTCGCTAAATTAGACGTATAGATCGGTATTTCTATTCCACAAGTCAACGAAAAGAAAATAGACACATTGCATTAGACATTTCAGACGAAGTTCAATCATCGATAAGATGCTTACAGGTCATGACTTCTCACATGACACAAAACAAATAATGTTTAATGTGATCAGATTTGTAGAACGTGAAAAGAGTGGTTGTTTGATTCCATTGAATAATGTACTTAGGGCAATCCAAAAATAGTGGCGCCATCACCAAATTTCTTTATGGAAAGCTTGGAAAAATTTTCTTTTTTTATGGAGAGATAGAGCGTCTTTCACTTTATTTTTCTATGCTATTTGATCACTATTTAACTGATATCATAATAACAAAATTTCGATAAAAAGTGTTTTTGTTGAAAACTAGCTGGCGGTATTAAGATCACAATGGGTGTGACATAAAAAAATGGAGTGCTTTTGCATTTCATTTTATTGTCACTTAATAGGTTGTATTAAGAAACAAAATATACCACAAGATGCAGCGTGAAAAGCTCTACAATTTGGAAAGGACCGTTTATTTTAAAGTTGCACTTTTTATTTTCAAAATGGACAAAACTCTGAGCGACCAAATTTCGACATTATGAAAGCGGGATTGTTTTTTTGGTAAAAGACGAATTCGCTCTTTTTCTATCGCATCTTTCTATAATTGTTCTTTGTAAATTGTAGAGCTTTTCACGCTGCATCTTGTGGCATATTTTGTTTTTTAATACAATCTATTAAGTGATAATAAAATGAAATGCAAAAATGTCCCACCCATTGTGATCTAAATACCACCAGCTAGTTTTCAACAAAAACACTTTTTATCGAAATTTTATTATTATGATATCAGTTAAATAGTGATCAAATAGCATAGAAAAATAGAGTGAAAGACGCTCTATCTTTCCATTAAAAAAATTTTTTTCAAGCTTTCTATAAAGAAATTTGGTAATGGCGCCACTACTTTTGGATTGCCCTAAGTAAATGATCGTATCAAATCTATTCTTGGTATTTCATTGAGATCAGTTGAAAGACTGAAGCAAGAAATAAGAGAGCAGGAGCGGGAGTTTTTGAAGAAAGAAATCGAACTGAAGGAACTACAGAAGAATTGTGATCAAGAAAAACAAGATAAAGAAGATACGGCGATTCGAGGTACTCTTCGGCTTTGAAATCCACATTCCAGATCAGGATCATCATCATCAGCTTCTACTACATCGGATGTTACTACAACAATATTCATACGAATCGCTAAACCGTCATAAAAACTTGGGCACGCTGGTCGATCCCCTGTCATCTTGACAGAAGATCAAAAAGAAAATGTTCGGTAAGTACTTTACGATAATCGATTTCGTAACATATATGCACTTTTTATATATATCATGTTCATCTGATGTTAGCTGAGCGAATTTACCCGATCATAGGCAAAGTGCTTACTCGAATTTTGGATGATGATCCTGATTTTCCAATACGTTCGACGTCATCGTTATTGTGTTGGATGAAGAAATTAGGTTTTGGATATAAAATAACATCGGAAGTTGTTGTTCCTTTCGATTCTCCTTTCTACATGACAGTTCGTGCACGTTATCTTGTTAAGATTGGTGAGTTTAGAAAAAATGGGACGGTTATCTTTTGGCAAGATGAGATATGATGTAACCAGAATGAAGAAAAACTTTTCGTGTGGGCTGAGCGAGACACAAGTGTTGGTCGTCTACGACAGAAGAGTGATAAAGGTATAATTTCTCCTTTCGTTAAAATAGTGTACAATTTTTTTCTTTACAGGGCAACGACTCGTTATTTCTGCATTGATGGGCATCTCAGATTTTCATGCATCATCTATAGATATATTTGAATGTGACGAAGACCACCGTATGAATTCGATACATTTTGTGGCATGGATTAGTCGTACTGCTTTCCTTATGCATAAAGAGCTTGGTAATATTTTCTTTTGTCAGTCCGATTCTTATATCTGAATTTATGAAAATATGTAAAAATTCTACTGGTAACTGATAATGCAACATGGTATAATAGACTTACAAGTGACACAATGCCACCAAAAAGATCATGGCGCAAAGAAACCATAATACAATGGCTCAATAATCATAATATAATTGTTCCTGAAAAAGCTGTCAAAGCTGAACTACTTGAGATTGCTTTGAAAAACCTACCTGAAAAACGATATGAAGTCGATGATGCAGCAAAAAAATACAGTGTCGATATTTTGCGGTAAGCTATTCATTTTAGATCTCCCTTTAGTCTTGAAACAAGTATTTACAGTTTGTCTATCAAATATTCTTTGCCCAACCCGGTGGAGTTGGTATGAACAGGCTTGAGGTAATGTGTACGATATAACAATGTCAATTTCCGTCTTTCCGATATTCGACATTTATCGCAAAAAAGAATGTTAGACTTTAAAGCAGATACAGTTATGACTTATCTCAATCATGTATATAAGATTGAGAAAATGTTCAAGAAATCAGATGCTTTTACAGAACAACTCAAAGAGGAATTATTAGATGAGGATGATGATGAAGAACTAGATTCTGAGATCGAAGAAATGACTGATTAATGAAAAATTATTTTTCTTCTATTCTTCCGTGTTATTAACTACTGATCTGAAAAAACTACAATACCCAACCAACATGCATAGGAGATGTTCAGCAAGTAGGAGTATGTTGTGTTATTATAGTTTCAACGAGGATATTCGAATTATGATGTAGTATAATTGACACTGGTTTTACATGACAAATTATAATTTCTTTACAACATGAACACTTTCATTCAATTCAAAATAATCAAAAACATAGCAATTAATTGATAAACATACAATTAAGAAAATTTGAAAAAATCGTCACGAAGATGGTTTTCGAGCGTTTTCGACGAATAATGTTGGACGTATGATTTTTGAACAAGACAAAATAAAATTTTCGGGTTTACATGTAGAGTTATAGATCTTGAGTAGGTAAATCTAATGCACCCCTTACAGTTGGAATTTCATACAACTTCTACGACACTGTAACTGCTTCTTTGAATTTCGTTGATCGCTCATCAGACTTATGATCTAGTTTTGTTAACTATTATATAGAAAAATGTAGAATGCTTGCCTCTTTCTAATGATGAAAACCGCAGATCAATAACTCTTTCTGTTGAAGGGTTATTCAAAAAACAACCACCCGCCTTTTATTTTGAAATGGACGTTAGTCTCAATAGCGAGGTCGAATGCTCGAATTCCTGACAAAAAGGATACAATAAAGTGTTGGGATTGAATGGATACATGTCACTTCTTTGCTATAATTTTTACAAGTTCGACACTCACCAATGAGTATGGGCGTGGGTGTGGGTGTGCGTGGTGTGTGACGTGTGGATGTGAACGTGGGTTTGGATCTCTTTTGATTAACACCCACACCCTCTCACCATGTTTCGCTAATTTTTAATAATGTTATCCATTTTCTTATTTATTCCTAATTTTAGAAGAGGATGAAATACACAAACTGAGGAAACATTCTATGCTAAAAATGAAAACATCGACTAATCGAGCAGACATTAAATATTTGTGAGAATGTTTTCAATAAGAAAGGAATATTTTACAAACAATAATGATCTTTATTCTAAAGATCAATCTAATAAGGTGAAATTTATTTTAATACGTCACATAGATGTAAGTACAAGCATGTAGCAACCTTTAAATGAAAGTTTATTTCAGGTGTTACAACAGCTGTTAACAACTTTACGCCATCAACAGCCACTTGTAACAGTACTGTAGCGACACGTAAGTTTAGTTTATAGATTTTATTTTTTGATAATGTGTTTGAATGTGTCGTTTTCCTGTTTAGCTTGTACAACAACAACGACGATTGTTGCTACATGTAATAGTTATGAAGTATCATGGAATGATCATTGCTATTATCTAGATGGATCAGGTGGTACTTGTGCAACTGGTTATAGTCGAGCAACAAATGCTGTTTTGACATGCATAAGTACACAATTTGCTGGAAAAAGCTATGCAAATATGGTGTCGGATAATTGCTGCATTTGGACGGCAGATACGTATGAATGCTATGGACTTAACAGTAACTGTAACTTAGCAGGACCATTTGTATCAGGACCAACATTAGGTGGTGTTGGTTGTTTCAACGGACAAGTGAATCAACCTAAGCAACTAACATTTTGTGGCAGCAATTAGTTAGACGAAAATCTAATAGAATCTTTCATTTGACAAAAAAAAAAACATTCTCATTAGAAATCATTCCTCTACGATCAATTCTTGAATTATTAGTTTCTAGAAGTCTGACTGCATCACCAAAATAATCAACTATGATCTTGTATTTTTCTTTTTAACTTAATACATTTATAATCTCATTCGTGAAATAAAATTAACTAACAAATAATTATTTTGTTTTCATTTTGGACATTCATCTTGTTTTACTTATGAAATTCATTATTTAACAAACCATTTTTTTTTAATAAAGAAAACTGAAACAAATACTTCACGGAAAGTTATATCGAATTTGAACAACCTTGTTTGACTAACAAAGATATCTGAGTAGGCTTATATATCATTTAGATGGACGTTGACGATGTCTATAATATACAAATAGAATTTACAAAATTACTTATCAGCTCATTGAATTCATTCGATCTAGTTTTTTTCAGATATATATATACAAGGGGGAAAAAGCGGATCCTCGGATCCTTTGGGATCCTTTTGGATCCTTTGGGATCCTTTTGGATCCTTTG